TTATATCACAGAAGTTATCCAATTATTTTCGTCGATCATCAGGTGAAGCGATACTTTTTTCAAGGGACTGTATATATTAGTACTGTATTAATATAAAACCAAACCGCAGGTTAAAAACATTCGTGTGAAATTATTATTTTTTTTTTTTGAATTATTAGTAATAGTAATTTTAGCTGCTTGTGTTGATTAAATCTGAATACCCATTGATTTGTTGGAGAGAAGGAATACTATATATCAGCTCTTATGTCATTATTTTCAACATATCTCCTGGAAAAAATTTATTACATTTTTCTATATAACAGCTAAGAACATTTTTATTATGTTTAAAATCAAGTCTTTACCATCATCACCTTTTTCAAAATTTTTTTTTATTTTAGTTGGGATCTTACTACAGGTGCTGTTAAATACTGTGTTACAGGGTTTTCGCTTGACAAACCCAAGATGATTACTTTTTTTATTGTGGGCTAAAAAAGTTCTTAAAAAAAACCTTCCTATATATTATTATCAGCTTAAAAAAACCTGTTATATTAATATTTATATTTTATTTTGCATATTTCCTTTGGATATTTTTATTATAATATTTCGTTAAGTATATTTTATATTATTTATATTAAATTTTTTAAAAAAAATGATTTATCTTGATCAATCGCTAAAAGCAATTGATTCAGTTTCGGATTTTAATAAATTCAAACATACCATTTCTTTCGAATAAGGTTATTTTTTATTATCTGCTTTATTCAATATTTATTATTTATTTGAATACAGTCAACCCCCTCTAAATGCATGCCATGTCTCATTCCCAAACTTATAGTGAGCTTATAAAATTACCCCCTCTAAATGCACACCCTCTCTAAATGCACATTCATGAGAAATAGTGATATGTTCCCAAGGAGGGTGCACTTAGTGAGGGTTGACTGTAAAACACAAATGAAACTGATGGTAATAATAAAACAAATATATAAAACGAATAAAATGAATAAAATGAGTAAAACAAATACTGTAATAATAGTAATAATAAATGAATAAAACAAATGATGATTTCTGCTTTTTATTGAAAGAGTCATTTGATATAGAAGAGGAAAAGAAAAGCTGTAAAAAAGATGAATGATGCACTTAAAAATCTAAAATTGTGTAAAACATACCATAATGTTTACCTGAGTTTCATTCCGATCAAAATTACATGACACAAAAATCCCTTTATATGATCTAGGTATCAGAGTATTAATTTTGATTTGCTAATCACCTTGAAAATCTATTAAATTGAGGCATACTTTATTATAGCAGTCATGATGAATAACAAGATTAATAAATCTAGTTGAAGCAAGAAAGCTTCTACAAACAAAACACTTATTGAACTTTGGGTTGTTTTTATAAGATATAATAGCAATTCAGAAAAAACTCGGCATTAATGGCAATGCTAATCGAGCAATGGCACATAGATTTACTAATTCATATTTTTATTATACTTATATATTATAATAATAAATTTATAAAATACATAAATCTACACTATTCAGATCACATATATCGTTGATTTACATGTGTAGAATGACCGAGGGTTGTAAAAATAATGTAGAATTTTATGATAATTTTTGAGCAATTGCAATCTGTTCACCCACTCTATAATGTTTTTGTTCGTTAGCAAGAATATTAACATTGCTTTGGCTTTGGAATACGAGGACAATGTCAGATCCACCAAACTGAAAATAAGCTATCTCCTTCCCTTTCGTCACTGTATCATCTGGCTTAATGGAGAGGACCACAGAAGACACTTGTGCCATACCGACTGGTAAAACAGCCACTTTTCCAATATATTCATTTTCGATTACAATCAGACTGCGAGCCTGGGAAAATTGATACCCTGGAGAGTCCGGAGCAGAGAGTTCTTCGGCATCGCCAACTTTCATTTTTCGTCTAGGTACGAGTATCAGTTTGTTGGGATTGTTATGATCTTTTTGAACAGTAACATCGAGATAGGTCTGGCCCGGAATAACTTTGGCTTTGAGTACTTTGCCATCGACAGGAGCATGCAAATGATGATAGTCGTATGGTGCGAGAAATGCGTGCATAAATTTCCTGCCAGCAAAGTCACTTGCGTACAGACTGTCATCAAGTAACTCCTTAATGCTCCAAGGAAGGCCTTTTAAAGTGACAATTGACTTAGAGTTGATATTCCAAAAGCCATCGAAGGTCGAGTCTGCAGGACTCACGATAACTGCTGGATTAGAAGGGCAGTCGATGGGTCAGGTTCCTGACAAGAATTTTCGAGCGAATAAATCATTAAAAGTATGCCCTATCCAGCCTCCTTCGGGAACCTCGTAGGCGTCCAAGTTATAGTTCTGCGCAGCATAGATAAAAATCCTTTTATGGATAGATCGGCGTTACACACATTTAATAGACATTTCAAAAAAAGATCAACAA